CGCGAGCGTGCGTGCGTGCGTGTGTGCGTGCGAGCGTGCGTGCGTGCGTGCGTGCGTGCGCGCCTCGGTCAGCATGATCTTGTGCTCCGTGGGGTCGATCTTCAGCTTCTCGCGAAAGGTGTAGTCGTAGAGGTGGCACATGTCCTCCCACCGCTGCACGACCCCGTTCGTGATTGGGCACGACGTCTCCAGCCTACCGGAGATTCAGGGAGATTTAGGGAGATGTGGGGAGATTGGGTACGACGTCTCCAGCCTACCGCGGCACGGACACAAGGGCGGCGCACGTTGTGCAAGCGGCGCTTGCCGGCCTCAGCACGGCCAGCGGGTGTGTTTGTGTGTGTGTGTGTTTGGGGAGGCCGCGTGCGAGGTGTGAGGGCGGGGGCAGCACAGCCAGACTGCACGCACAGACGGATCGCAGAGGAGACATCTAGGCTGCCCATGCATGTCCCGTGCCGCAGTGCACTCGTCGCCAACCATGATGTCCTGCGGCAGGGACGGGTGGCAGACACGCGGTATGGCGGGGAAGGGCACGCGCGCTCACGTCGCGCCCACCGCGCCCTCGCCGCGCCACGCTGTGCGCCCGCCGCCGCTCCGTCCACCCTCCATCCCGCTCTCTGTGTGCACTCCCCGACGGCAGCACGGGCGTGGAGAGGCGACGCCAACGCCCGCACTCACGCGGGCCACGCACCTTGAGCTGGACCTGCCCCACCTTCTCCTCGGCGCGGAGGATGGGCCGGCCGACAATCGACGGGAAGATGTGCGTAGGGAAGTTGTCGCCCGCGAAGCCGCACTTGACAAACTGCGGTGGCGGCGACGGAGCGTGAGAGAGGGAGCGGCACGCACACAAATGCGAGCCGCTGCGGGCGATCGCCATTGTCGCAAACGACAGGCGGGTTGCTCATATGACTGAGAACAGGGCCGCCAGTCAGATCGGACACACGCGAAGAGAGAGCGGCGAGGCAGGAGTGAACAAGGGCAGTAAGTCGAGCGGTCGCTGTCTGCTATTGCCGCAGCCGCTTCACTGGATTCGACACTTCAGCTTGGTATAGTATCATCTCTCGAGGTTCTCGAGGTGGATATCCTTTGGCCGCGTTGGGTAGCGAGGATTGGTGTAACCCGAGCCACGGAGGCGTGTTTTCTGACGGCCGACCGTCAGTGCACGGAGTTGCCCCTTCTCCGACTGCCCCGGCTAGTTCACGAGTTTCGCGGGTGTGACCCCATGCGTCAAACCCGAGACCTAGCGCGGGTGGGTTGGAGGGGCCTCGGAAAGGCGCGCAAGCACGCCCTACGTCTTCCCCTCCTCCCCATCGGGCCGCGTGAGCGGCCACGCCTCGCAGATTCGTTTTCGCGCC